GTGCACCACAATACTTGCTCCGCTGGGAAGCATAACCCCGCAAACGCAAAATCAAAATCAGACCCAAAACATAAGTGAACCCAATCCACATATTTGAGTGAGTGAGGATTTACCGATCTGGGCTGGGCTTAAGATGCTGCTGGTGAGATTTGCGTAGTATCCTACAAAAATTTATTTTATTTTTTTTATTTAATTAAGTTTTAACTTCAACTTAAATTAGTATATTTTTAATTTAATTTTTATTAGAAAATCGTTTCATTAATAATTTAAAGTACTTTTCGTTTTGTTTGAGTGAGCTGTTTTAAATTTATTTTTTTTTACTGGTTAACTCACTTTTAAAATAACGAGTTGATGAATGAATTGAAAAAGTTAAAAAAATAAGAATGAAAAAATATATATAATCATATTTCCTTGTTATTGAGAAAATCAAATAACATAATATATTAATAAAAAATATTTTAAGAATAATGTCTTTTGAAATCAAAAGAACATATACATCTTATAAGTTCTACTAAGTCACTTTTTAAGAGATTTTTTACTTTTAGTTTAGTATACTAAGACATCTTCATCAATATTTTGTTCAATTATTAATAAAAACTTTTTTTCAAAATAAAATTATTTTTATTTTTATAATCAGAATATTATATTTGAAGATTTATAGGTTATTATCATTTAGGCTTATATTTAGTGGTTTTACAATATTAAAAACTCTCTTCAAATTTTGATGATAATCTTATATGTTAATAATTAATTTATTATAAGATTAGGGACATGTCTTATTATAAAAAATATGTATAATTTCTTTAAAATCTTTTTTCTAGACTTTATATCCCTTAATTTCTAACTCCTTATATGATCAATTTTTCCTATAGAATAAGTTAGTTTCTATTATTTTTTTATTTATTTTATGTTTGAGCCATACATGTAGGTATGATGCATGTGTCATCCAACCTCCTTTTCGAATTTCTTGTCAATCAGTGACCTTAAAAACCTATTATGATTATATTTTTGTGGTTTATAGGTACCGTTAAAACGATTTGAGTTGAGGTAGGGGTTTTGGGCTATTAAAGCGGTTTAAGCTTTTCATCATGTAAGGGGAGCTAATGTTTCATTCAATTTTGTTTTAAGATGTATGAATTTGTGTCTGAGATGTCATAAGAAATCATCTTTGTTGAATATGCTATAGTTGAGATGATTGTGAGTGATGCTTATATATTGATGTATATTGTGTGTGTCTGAGAAGTGGTATTGGTTTGAACTTTTGATGCTATTGTTTTGGAGTATAATTACGTGCAAAATTGATGTAGGATATAAGTTGGTAAAAAGTAATTGTTCCAGGAGCTATTTTTAGTCTAATTTGAGATTTTGGTATGTAAATTTTTAGAGTAACAATTTTGGAGTTATAACTGATTTTTGAAATATGTTTTTATGGTCGTTTTAAACTTGTTTAGGATCTTAGTTAGCCAAAAATATGATGTTGATTTGAGAAGTGGAAACTAGGTAGAATTGTAGGTTGAGTTTTATGCTATCTTGGTCCATTTTAAGGGTTTTAACAAGTAAGAATCAAAAGGAGAAGGTATGTGATGAATATGAAGGTTTAAGGCCTATTTTTGAGTTAATTGAGACTTGTTTAGATTCTTAGTTTGCAAATTGTCGGTTGTAATGTGTATAATTAGTCATAGGTGTTTTGGAGTGGTTAAGTGATCTAGTGCATCTTATTTCTGATCAAATAAGCAAAGTGATTTTCGATTTCATCCATAAACATATTTTTGTATCAATTTTAGTAGTGTCAAAAAAGTCAGTTCAAAATGTCTTTAAATTTATTTAATCTTGTTAAAAATATTTAATTAAAATATTTGTACAACATTTATAAAAAAAGTTAAATTTCGTTTTAGTTTTAAAAAAAAATTACTTTATTTTAAAAAATATTAAACAGAAACAAAATAAAATCTCAAAATAAAATAAGATTAAAACAATGATATATAAAATTATAGTGACACATGATACAAGTGATAAATTTTTATTTTTAAAAATAAAAATAAAAATTAAATAAATATTAAAAAATAAAATAAAAATCATGAAATAACAAGTGACATTCTTTTAGTAGTATTATTGCATGCTTTTTTCAAAATAAAAATTAAATTGAAACACGTAACAGTAAAAATTTTCCTGCATAGATAGGATAAATGACGTAATTAAAAAAAATCAAATTAAATAAAAAAATGTAAAGGTTTAATCATTTATAACATCCTATTTTTATATTTTTACAGAATTTTTTCACTTAGGTCTTCCCGATTAGGTCCAGATTGTGAAAAATATGAATGACGTTAAAAAATGATGTACCTGGCAAGGTGACATTAGCATGTTTAATGACGTGACAGATTATGGTAAACTAGTTGGATTTGTTTTATTTAAAAATTGAGGACTTGCCGTTGCCGTTAATTTGGTTTGTGTTTTATGTAAACACAGTTTTAGTTTAAATGATGATGAGAGTGGAAGATGTTTTGTACTTATGTTCTACCTTTATTCCATTTTAATGGAAATGAGAGTTGTTTGATGTGTCTGAGTAAGAAATTTAATGGAAATGAGAGTTGTTTGATGTGTCTGAGTAAGAAATTGAATTCTGTGTTTTAGAAAGATGTGTTTGAGTAAGAAATTGAAGTCTGTTGCACCAATACGCAATTGTCATTTATCACGCTTGGTGGAGACCCTCAATTCTCCAACGCATCACGCACACCAGCAACCGCAAGCCACAGTCGCACAATGTCCAGCAACCCTAACCCTCCATCGAAATCGCCACCATGACGCGCAACCATCTTCGTCGCCAGATCCCGTCAAACGCAAGCCTCTCCGCCAAAGCGTCGTTGCCTTCATTCTCATCCAAATTCCATGGACGCTGCACCTCCGTCATCAATCTCGCACAACCATGGAAGCTTGCTTCTTCGCCGTACCTGCAAGCGAAAACCCAATCGCGATTGAGTTCGAGTTCGCATCCTGCGAGAAGTCGTGTTCGCATCTTCGAACCTCCATCATCGCCTTCGCGTTTCCATCGAGCCCAGTTTACACTGTCATCTCCTTCGCGCGAACCGCCGCAGCGCAACTCACCAGCAACGTCAACCTGAAAAATCAAACCAAACCCATATCCAGAAAACTACAACAGAAGCCATAGCATCTTCTCCTCTACGAGCATTCAAACCTGCAAAGAGGAGACAAAATCCCAAATCAAAGAAACCCTAAATCGCATCCAAGTTACTGGCGCATCAACAGCGGCAAGATCGTGTTTCTCGATGTTCGTCATCTTCCTCGACTGCCATCTCCTCCACTCGCATGACCTACAGAGGAAGACCAAGAAACCAGATGCAGCCGCCGCAGAAGCAAGAGAACGTCTTTCCCTGCAAAACCCTAATGTCATCTGGTTATGGCAAGGCCTCAATTTCTAAATACAATAAATCCAATTAACCGTAATGTAACGCCACATCATTAAAATCTAATGTCATGCTATCACGCACGTTACTTTTTGATGTTCTATCCAAATTAACGACAAGCCTCAATTGATTAATTTTTTACAATCAAGATTTAATTAAGATATTTTACTCAACCTAATTAAGAAAATCCTATAAAAATAGAATATTTTAAATGATTAAACCAAAAATAAAATCGAGAAAATCCTATAAAAATAGGATATTCTAAATGATTAAAAAAAAATAAAAGGACAAAAGTTGTATTTAAGCTTCTTTCATCTTATCTTTGAGTATCCAATCTCCAAACCAAACATTCACAATTCTATTAGAAAGGGAGAGTTTTCTTCTGTTAAGATGGAGATATGCACATAAGCAAGATACTGAAATTCACGCCTGTTCTGGATGAAAAGATAAATTTTGCTCACAGATGAATGCTTTTATGTTTCAGACCAATACAGCATGTCATGATCCACATATTGGTGTCCCACAAATCAGGACATGCAAAAGCATGCGAGAATTGAAGCAAGTGCATGCGTTTTTTGTCAAAACAGCACGAACCCTTGACACCACAATAGCAACAGAGATTCTTAGGCTCAGTGCCACGTCTGATTTTCGTGATATTGGTTATGCCCTCTCAGTGTTCGACCAAATGCCTAACAGGAATTGCTTTGCTTGGAACACTGTGATAAGAGCACTTGCTGAAACCCAAGATAGGCTCTTGGACGCCTTCTTTGTTTTCTGCCAAATGGTGACCGAGGCAACGGTGGAGCCTAACCGGTTCACTTTCCCATCTGTTCTGAAGGCGTGCGCAGTCATGGCCAGGTTCGAAGAAGGGAAACAGGTTCATGGGTTAGTTCTTAAGTTTGGATTGGTGAACGATGAATTTGTTGTCACTAATTTGCTAAGGATGTACGTGATGTGTGGGAGTATGGACGATGCTCATGTTTTGTTTTATAGGAATGTTGAGGGTGTTGATGATGTGAGGAGGTTGGTGAGAGAGGAGAGGAGGGGAGAGTTTAATGTGGTTCTATGCAATGTGATGGTTGATGGGTATGTAAGAGTTGGGAACCTTAAGACTGCTAGGGACTTGTTTGACAGGATGGCTCAAAGGAGTGTGGTTTCTTGGAATGTGATGATTTCTGGGTATGCTCAAAATGGATTTTATAGAGAGGCCATAGAAGTGTTTCGTAGGATGACGCAGATGGGAGACATGTCGCCGAACCGGGTCACTTTGATCAGTGTGCTTCCTGCGATTTCGCGTCTTGGAGCGCTTGAGTTGGGGAAATGGGTGCATTTATATGCAGAGAAGAATAAGATCCGGATTGATGATGTGCTTGGTTCGGCTCTGGTTGATATGTACGCCAAGTGTGGGAGCATTGAGAAGGCCATTCTGGTATTTGAGGAGCTACCTCAAAACAATGTTATAACATGGAATGTTGTTATTAGTGGTCTTGCCATGCATGGTAAAGCCAATGATGTGTTTAATTATTTGTCGAGGATGGAAAAATGTGGAATATCCCCGAGTGATGTTACGTACATAGCCATCTTAAGTGCTTGTAGCCATGCAGGCTTAGTGGACAAGGGAAGATCATTTTTTAATGACATGGTTAATAGGGTTGGATTAGAGCCTAAAATTGAACACTATGGGTGCATGGTTGATCTTCTGGGTCGTGCTGGTTATCTTGAAGAAGCAGAACAGCTTATATTGAGCATGCCAATGAAGCCAGACGATGTCATATGGAAGGCTTTACTTGGTTCTTGTAAGATGCATAAAAATATCGAAATAGGTACGCGTGTTGCGGAGGTTTTAATGCAATTGGCTCCTCATGACAGTGGGGCATATGTGGCTCTCTCCAACATGTATGCCTCATCAGGGAATTGGGATGGAGTTGCAGAGGTGAGGTTAATGATGAAAGACATGGATATAAGAAAAGACCCTGGATGTAGCTGGATTGAAATTGATGGTGTTACTCATGAGTTCCTTGTTGAGGATGATTCCCATCCTAGAGCCAAAGACATACACTCAATGTTGAAGGAAATTTCAAACAAGTTGAGCTTGGAAGGTCATATGCCAGATACCACACAAGTGTTGCTCAAGATGGATGAGAAAAACAAAGAAATCGTGCTGCACTACCATAGTGAGAAGATTGCTGTTGCTTTTGGCTTAATTAGTACACCCCCGAAGACATCACTTTGTATTGTGAAAAATTTGAGAATTTGTGAAGATTGTCATTCCTCAATGAAATTAATCGCAAAAATGTATGAGCGAAAGATAGTTATTCGAGACAGGAAGCGCTTTCACCATTTTGAACATGGTTCGTGTTCTTGTATGGACTACTGGTGAGTGTTCTTAGAGCTGTACTTGAAGTGCTGAGAGAAAGAAGATTGTATGCCAAATTGTCTAAGTGTAAATCTTGGATGGTAGAACAGCACTAAGGAAGGAAGGGAGAAGCTGGGAGTGCACGGGTTCTACTTCTTAAGGAGAAGAGTTGGTAGATTCAAGGAGTTGGAAGGGATCCGCACACTGCATTTCAAGATTCAAGGAAGTCTTCAAGAGGTAAGGGGAGCTAGATCTTTTGTTTGATTGATGATATATGTTGTGTTTGATGCAAATCTGGGAAGAAAGGGATGATAAAAATTGGGATTTTATGGATTTCTGGGTTTCTGGAAAACCTGCGATTCTGCAGAATTCAGCAGAATCGCGCGTTCGTCCAATTTGATGCCAAAATTGGACGTTCGTCCAAATGGCTCGACCAAATAGTGGTCGGCCAAAATAACATGAGCGTTCAGTTTTGTGTTAACGAGCGTTCGTTCGTTTGCAGTGATATAATAGACGTTCGTCCCAACGGTATACAGGAAACTAGTAATTTTAGGTGTTCGTCCCTAAATTGATATGTACGTGATCTTGAGCGTTCGGTATTGAGTATTAGAAATTGCAGTCGTTCGTCCTTAATATGGATTCTTAAGTTTAATCTTGATCGTTCGACCTTAAGTTTAAGTCTGGATCTTTAAACGTTCGGTTTTGGTGTGTAAGAAAGCGTTCGGCCTTGGTTAATTGTGATTGTGAGCGTCCGGCCGTTATTTGGTATTCTTAGGTTTGGATTTTGAGCGTTCGATCATGGTTTAATTTTTTTTGTGAGTGTTCGGTTTTGATTTAATTCTTATTGTGAGCGTTCGGTTTTGGCTTGATTATAATTGTGAGCGTTCGGTCTTGGCTTAATAGTCTTAAGATTGGAATCTTGAGCGTTCGGTCTTGTTCAGTTGAGCGTTCGGTTTTGATAAGGTATTCTTGTTTGTGAGCGTCCGATTTTAATTTGGATTCTTAAGTTTGGATCATAAGCGTTCCTTCATGGGTAATTGTGATTGTGAGCGTTCAACTTTAAGATAGTATTCTTAGGTTTCAATATTAAGCGTTCGGCTTTTGCTTAATTGTGATGTTGAGCGTTCGGTAATAATTTGAGATTATAAAGTTGAATCTCATAGCGTTCGTCCAAATAGCATAGTGGCGTTCGGCGTTTGTGTTCGGCAAAGGTGTTCAATCTGTTCTAAGACGCTCGGCTAGTAATTCAGGCGTTCGGTTTAGCGTTCATCCACAAAGCTCGGCCATAATATGCTGAGTGTTCGCTTTTAAGTTTGACGAGAGTTCGCGTTCGTCATGAGTGTCGCGTTCGGTCTTCAGTGTGACGAGCGTAGGCGTTCGTCCTTAAAGTGTAGGGTTCGTCCATCCATATGAGTGTAGCGTCCGTCCTTCAATCTGAGTGAGCGTTCGGTCTTAAGGTGGAAATTCTTAGGGTTCGATGATGAGCGTTCGGCTTAAGTATCAATCTTAGCGTTCGTCCTCAGAAGTTTTTAAATATATGGTATTCGGTGAGAAGTGTTCGGCCTGTTGTTGAGCGTTCGTCCTGTAGCGTTCGTCCAAAGCAATTTGATGACGTTCGGCCTAGTGCTCAGTAATGACGTTCGTCCTAATGGTGTTCGTCCTTGCGTTCGGAACTGACGTACGTCCAAAATGTGGTTCGGCTTAATGCTTGGAAAACGACGTTCGTCCAATGACGTTCGTTCCATAAAGGGTTAAGTGAATAGTGGTCTTCCAAATAGTATTCTACAAATTATGTTGTATAAGTTTATTTTTCTTTTGAGTTGAATTATGTGTACTAATATTTATATATTGAGAAGTGATATGAGTGAAAGTATGTGAATGAATGAGATAAATGTAAATGATGGATTTGGGGTATGATTCGGACATCTCGGGGAGAGATGGACGAAAGTGGTTATGTGAAGTATTGTGGTTGTTCTGTATAATTGTATGGAGCTTTGAAATGGTATGTCTATCCCTAAACTCAAAGCATTGTTCATTCTCAATTAGAGAAGTATAATGTGAGTTGTGAGAGTAGAGGGAGGTCCTCGTCTATAGTCTTTGAATTTAGACATAGACAGATTGGGGGATTTACCTTGCTAGTGTTGGAGAGAGACCAGCTGAACTATGCAAGTGCAAAGACGACCAATAGTTCGACAGTTATACAAA